ACTTGGAGTAGTTACTCGAAATCTATGTTGGATATATTCAATATTAGATGACTATGAAATTCCGTCTCAAAATCAATTAGGATGAGTATCACGTCTCATCTCTTTAAGACGGTGTCTCTTTAAGTTCATCATGCTTCGGTTGAATCTTTTTCTATTTCATCGAATACCTGTTTGGTCTTTATAGGCCAGGTCCATTAATCTAAGGAATAGTGAGAATTCTTCATCTCTCAATTCGAAAATCCAGGACTTGAACTGATGGTCGTTCATTAATCAAGTCTTCCTAAATTGCATTGATTTATACTAAAGGTTTCATTTTCATTGGAATTTGGTTATTCACAATGTCCAAGGATCCCCACTAATGTAACAATAAGAAAATAAGAACTTGGAGGGAGAGAAGCCGAGGGAAAGGAGCAAAGCATCTTTACTGAATTCTCTCACGGAGAGGAAAAAAAAGAGAGAAGAGACCAATAGTTCAGTCTCATTCACCTTGAGTCTTTCCTTTCTTAATGAGCGGAACACTTTCTATTGATCGGACAAAAGATGGTTAAATTAGGTTAAAAATCAAAGGGGGAGAGAGAGGGAGAAAAGAACGGAATCTATAGCCTTAGATAAACATGATTCTAACTTAAGATCAATCGTCGGTTAAAGAAATAGTTCATGTATCTTATTAAGAATGTGAAACCTCTTCATATTTTCGTATGAGATTCTCAACATTCAAGTGATTTCTTTGTACAATTGAATCAAGTACTTTTTATAACAATGACATTACATGAATTCAAAGGTGAGATCTCCAACTCTTATAATGTGAGATTTCACATCGATTAGAGAGAGAAATGAGTGTTAGCAAGGACGCTGACCCTAAAAGAAAATGTATTATGAGATCTCATATCGATTTGAGAGATGAACGAGTGCCAAGGAGGATGCTAAACTCCAAAAAGAGTGAATTGTGAGATCCCACATCAATTAGAGAGGGGAACCAACCTTTTTTATAAGGGTGTGGAAATCTCTACCATCAGTAGGGAGTTTAGTTAAGTGGAATTCAATCAAATGTATTACTTCACACAAACCGAGTGAGAGATGAGATTGTAAAGATGTGTGTGGAAATGGGTGACAAAGAGAAAAGAAAGGGAAGAGAGAAAGACATAAAAGAGAGTGGTTGCTGTTGTGGGTACGTACGAACACCACCCATCAAAGGCCCCTTCACACCTCTCTTTCTCTGCTCCTTTCTTTTCCTCCTTCCTTTCTCTTCTACTTCCCATACATATCCATTCCGACCCTTTATGATCGAAATATACTTTAAGTCCACTTTCGTCGATTAAATATGATTCAAGATCGAAATATACTGAAACAAAGAAATGAAACAGAAACAACAATTTGAGGGAGATATTCTTTGAACGGAAGAACCTTAAGCAGAAGAACGTTAAGCAATTATGCTTTTCAATTCTCTTGTTGTTGTGAATGTGATTAGTATTTATAGTTGAGAAATCTTGAGCAAATTACTAAACTTGTTCTATAAGTTAGTAACTTGTTCTATGAGCTAATTGGTCAAGAAAAAAGCTTTCATGCTACCTGAGTAAAGGAGTAGATGAATAAACTGATAACAGATCTAAATAAAAAATGATCTAGAAGATAGATAGCTAAGAACGACTTATAAGAATTGAAAAATACAATCTATACCAACGAGGTGCATCTTCTTTTTCGGTGGCTGTAAAGTAATTTTGTATTGGTTGACCTCCTAAAAATTTTCGTAGAATCCATGTGCTCAATCATTATGAAAGGATCTGTGTTGGTTTGTGAGGATAGTTTATACTCTTAAAAGCGAGAAGTAGGTATTGTAGCTACGTCGTTAATCCATAAAACGTTTGAAAACTCTAAAAGAAATATATTTCTTTGTTATAAATTGCATTCATATTCATTTACATAAGTGGGTGGTTTTTGGTTGTTAGTGCGTTATTCAAAGCCTCTCTCTTTCTTTATGCAACTTGTTGAGGTCCGACAGGGACACTGATAAATCCATGAACACCCACTTAAAGCTATGCCTTTTCATTTATTTATATTATATGGTTTTTATTATTATTATGAACGTAACGTTTCACATCTAAGTGGGTATGAATAATGGGGTGATAAAATATAAAAACGAATCTCCATGGGACCTTCTATTTTGGATTCGTCCATGTCATCATAACATTTCGAAAATCATTTTGCCCTCAACTCTACAATATATTCATATAAATTTTTTTATAGCTTACCCGAATCGAATATTACGATTATATAAGTAAATGCTTTAACCAAAATATGTTAGTGGGGGTAACGAGACTTTCAAAATTAAAGAGGTTATCTATGTAAGAAGGTTGTTGGTAGATAGAGTATCAATGTCATGGCAAACGTGCATAGATAGAGTATCACGACATGGCAAACGCTATAGCCACCTCAAAATATGAGGAAGTCATAGCTACCAATGAAGACTAAATTTGATATTATAACTACTGAAACCCACCACTAGTAATTATTGTATTTTCCTTCCGGGCTTTCCTTCAATGTTTTTAAAACAGGTATGATAGGGAGAGATTTTCACACCCCTTATAAAGAATGCTTAGTTCTTCTCCCGACCAATGTGGGATCTCACAGATATCTTTGTGTTTATATCTTTGTGTTTGTATGGTTCAAGCCGAATACAACAAATTATATCTTCAACCTACCCTAATCGACATTTAAAATCGTGAGTCAAGTTCAATACTTATAACGTTGTTTTTTAAGTACTTTTAAGAGTTTAAGTAATTAAACACATGTCTATGGCTAATGTTAAGTTAGATAATTAAATCATACAACTTCGTCAACTCTAGAGATTATTATCTATTGTCTGTTGGATGAAAAGTCTCAGGCTAATTTAGAGAATGATCATCAGTTTATAATCGAAAAATACTATCTCCATTGATATGAGCTCTTTTCGGGAAGTCCAAAACAAATCCATAAGAGCTTATGCTCAAAGTGAACAATATCATACCATTGTGGAGTCGATGTACAAGAAGAAAAGCATGTGTTCAGTTTGTAACGACCCTAATTTCCAAAGAGAACTAGAGTCGCTACCATCTACCTAATATAATCTTTTTATATGAAAACATAAATGACCTCACTGTTGGAATTAGGGAATGCAAACACATGAGACCTATTCACTTAGGTGGAGGCTTGCTACATGTTTATTATGGAAGTTATCGTTTCTTCCTCTCATCAACTTGATAAAGCAGTTTCACTCCTTCATCTCCTTCATATTAGTAGTATCCCTTCAAACTCGAGATTGGATCTCAATTATTTCCTGTTTGTGAGTGAGAAGAAAATTGAGTGCCATTACCGATATTTTTGTTTCTATGTCTCGAAGAAGAGTTGTTCTTAAGTAGGTAAAGAGTTGATATCGAGAGTCTTCCATCAATGATCCACCCAAACAATAAGGTTGAAAAGCTATACATGGCCCTAAAAACACGAAGAAATGCACCGTCAAAAATTTAGAAGTTTTAGTATATCAATGATAGAAGAAATATAATTATGTTAACAACAACTACATTTTGTGCACTTTATCAATGCATTATTATCAATTTCTATATCACTTCCATTATAATAGTTACAATATGACGAATTGAACCATTATAAGTCAATCACATGTACTACCAAAATAATAATTCGAAACGAATGTAATAGATTTAAATTAAGTCAATAAATAACATTAAGTGCATGAATGGATGGATAACAATGGCCTAATATTTATTTATTTTTATTTTTTTTGTTAAAAAATAAATCATAGAAGGTAGGGCGTACAGTACACCAGTTGAGAAAAACATTTGAATCAATTCAAAATTTCGGGTTGGTTGATTTGATGACGGAATAATCCAAATGAGCTTTACTATGGAACTAAACCCTCTTATTTCAGGTTGGGTTGGGTCGGGTCATCTATTGTTCATTTTTTTAATTATTTTTTGGTTAGGTTCGGTTTGATCAAGTTGATCTGCGCAATGAAATTTCAACCTATAAATCGAAGGTATAGTCTAAATTGTTTGACACCCTTAAATCAATTGTATAGTCTGAATTGTGCGAGCCAACCAGTAAATCGATGGTTTAATCTAAATTGTTCAAGTCAACTTGTAAATCGATTGTATATTCTGAATTGTTCGAGTCAACTTGTAAATCGATTGTTTAATCCGAATTGTTCGGATAACCGTACATCTATTGTGTAGTTCAAATTGTTCGAGTATCAGATTGTATAAAGGGTAAATATTAAATAATGGTTGGAGGGCAACAAACTTTCGGTGGCCGAATCGCGTGATATAAACAATGACATGTCTTGTCGTTTGGGTAATCGATCAATTCAAACTTTCACAACTAATTTAAAATGGTTTATTTAAATTATTTTATTTTTCAAAGTGGTTTATTTTAAAATAATAATAATAATAATAATAAATGACAAAATCACACTTTCTTCATTAAAAAAATCAAGTTTATAAAACGTTTTTAAAAAATAATTTTAAATTTTTTTTTTTTTAAAAAAGTTTCATTTTAAAAAACAAAAAATTAAAAATATATTTTTTTACGTGTGCTAGGTTTTTTGAATTAAATTACACCAAACCAAGCTATTATTATTGGAAATTACTTCATATTATTTAATTCTAAATGCATTATTGAGTAGAGATTTTTAAAAAATTAAAATAAAAATATTCTATTATAAATGATATTATAAAATAATTTAATTAAAAGTTGTATAGAATTATTAAAGACATAAAAATAATATAAATAAATTATAAAGCAAGAATACCACTTTTGCAAATAATTTAAAAAATAAAATCATCACCCAAATCTTAGAACTATATATTTGCAAATAATTTACTTTTAATTAAATAATAATAATAAATAAATAAATAAATAATGGAAAGCGTTTGAAATTCAAGAGGCAAAGAAACGGGAGGAGAACGAGAGAAGAACCTGATAACCATTCTTTAAAATGGTGTGAAAACTTTTCTCTAGCAGATATGTTTAATAACCTTGAATAGAAATCCGAATGAGAAAGTCTAAAGAGTACAATATCTACTAGCGGTGAGCTTGAGATGTTACAAATGGTATCAGAGTCAGACACCAATCAATGTGTGAGCGAAAAGACTGAGCCCAAAAGGTGGGTGGACATAAGGTATGTCATCAAGGACGCTGGCCCCAAAAGAGGTAGATTGGGAGGGTCCCACATTGGTACTAGAGCCAAATATCAGGCGTTGTGTCAGCGAGGTGACTGAGCCTCGAACGAGTGGACATGAGACGGTGTGCCACTAACGACGCTGACCCCAAACGGGTAGATTGGGAGGTCTCACATCAATTGGAGAAAGGAACAAGCGTTAGCGAGTACGCTAACAAAAGGATTGATTAGAATTTTTTGTTCTCTGGGCTTCTTCCATTAGCCTTCTGCAGAGTTTCTCCTCTGCATCTCTAAGAAATTTGAACTTTGGAGGAGGCGAAGATTCAAACAGGGGATTGAACCCATGCAGTTTGTACGAGTCTAAACAGCTGAGAGGAGGAGGAGGAGAAGGAGAGGCCTTCAATGGCGGAGACGCCATGGGAGTGAAATATGGAGTTTCAATTGCTGTAATTATGTCACTCAACCTTCTGGTTCTTGATTCTTCTGATTCCAAATCTTCGTTTGATTCTTCGTTGATTGTGAACAGAAATCTCGGTTGCCCTGCCAGATTGTAAATCCCCATCACCTCTTCTTCATGTTCTTCATGTTCTTCTTGTTCGTCTGCGAGCTCAAGCTCCAATCCATGGCGGATCTCAGGTGGGTTTATGGTGGATTTAGTTTGGTCGTCTTCAACCTGTGTAGTATTGATTATTTTCTTCTTCCGGCATAGAAGATAGTAAAGCTCTGCAATTATGCCCATGAAGAGGAACCCCAAAACTACGGCTAACCCAATGTTCAGGCAGCTGAAAGATGCCATTCCCAGCTTCGAAATTGCATCTCCTCCGATGGAAAAAGCTCCGGAAATTGATGACTCACAGAGACGGCAGAGGAAGGAAGACCACAACTACTTTATTTCTATTAACAGATTTCAAACAATGTAATTCATTGTAATTAAATTACCTTTTATTAATTTTATGTCATTATTAAAAATAATTTTAAAAATTATATCATAATTATTTTTCATTAATTAATCAAAATTTAATGCAACTTAAAGAAAGTTTGGGGTAAAGTTGTAAAATATCAATTTTATAACAAAATAAAAACCATGGACCAAATAGAAATTAAGCCGTATATTAGATGCTTTGTCTCATGGAGTTTCTATGATTGAGCCAACGAAAAGGACAGCGCACCTTATTGGTGTAGGTAGTGTATTTCATTTTTTTTAACACTTTTTTAGTCATTCTATCCTCACGATTACTCTCATTTGAACATGGTATTTGTTCATTCATGTGCTACTTATTTACTCGAGTGTTACAAGTCAAGTTAAGGGGAATGTCATACCTACATAGAAGAACCACCGTTCGTTGTCGTTGAAATTACAATTCTCATTAACAGTATTTTAATGAACCTACCAACTATATGTTTCAACCCACATTGAAAGTTTTGAACTAGCAACTAATCCCATCATTGACATATTGAATCTCAAATATCCTTGATCGTGTCACTCTATCATTGACCTATACAAGCTCGATTAGGAGGTAGACGGTTCTTCAAGGTGTTGATTTAATCGAATGTTTTTTTGAACACGTTTTCGTCTATCTTTTGTACCTTTTTTAATATGATGTTCTTGATTACAAGGGACAATGATAGCAAAGAAACATGATATTTAGAAGCAAAAGACAAATAGTTCATGATTGGTTTAAGACAAAAACTAAAGCAACATGTTCAGTTCATATGAAGATAGATCAGAAGTATCTACACAAAATCAAACTAACTTGGTAGCGATAATGTCAATAATGAGCAAGAATTGGTGTATTCAAATCATAGCTATCGTACCTCAGTTCGAACTTTCATGGTGCGTCGTGCCTCTACTCACGAAATGGCGTCAAGTCGATATTAAAATGCTGCTTACCCTTGCTCGCTCGCTGAGGAAAGAAAAACAATCTTGGTAAATTTTGATAAACATGTATGAGAAAATAGGTATAGATCCTTGGCTAGTACGTCGACTAAACGGTACCGGTAGCAACAAGCATTAATACTGGAATAGTCTAAACCCACCATTAGCAGATATTGTCCACTTTAGCCCATTACATATCACCGTCAGCCTCACGGTTTTAAAACGCGTTTACTAGGGAGAAGTTTCCACACCCTTATAAGAAATGTTTCGTTCCCCTCTCTAACCGACGTGGGATTTCACAAATACACAGATTAAGATGGTGTAAAGAAGACGACGACAAGTCGTGTTCAGTCAACTTCAATTCAATCTAAAGGGTCATGTCTCACCAGTCACCAGAAATGGCTCAGCAAAAATATGAAAGAAATCTAAGTGAACTTACTGCAATTGCCACAAGCTCTTCCAGCAATTCCTCCAAATGACGCAAAGGCTAATCAGAAAAGGGAATATTCATTGAAAGGTTCAGCAAATAATCACTTAAAAGATCTCATTTTATAAATGAAACTCAAACCCATTTAAGCAGAACTCACCCACTGCGTTGGACCATCAACTGGGGCGTTCATAGGGTCATCATGCACCTTCGAACCATAAGGAAACTCTTGAGACAGTTGAATTACCCATATAAATATCACCAAGTATTGATATATTTAGATTTACGGTTACTCATAAAAGTTTAAACTTTATGGTTCATTGGTGACGTAACACGGTATCAAGGGAGGTCCTACGTTCGAACCCTCGTAAATGTCATTTGCTCCCTAATTAATATTGAATTCATTGATATAATCAAATTTACCATAACTCTTGACTTTTTATGATCATTTTATTTGTGTAACAATCCAAGCTCACCGCTAGCAGATACTGACCTCTTTGGGCTTTTCCTTTTGGGCTTCTCTTCAAGGTTTTAAAACGTGTTTGCTAAGGAGAGGCTTCCACACCCTTATAAAGAATGTTTCGTTCCCCTCTCCAACCGATGTGGGATCTCACAATCCACCCCTTTGGGGACCCAGCGTCCTCGCTGGCACACCACCCAATGACTGACTTTCATACTATTTGTAACAGCCCGGTGACTCTGCTAGGGAGAGGTTTCCACACCCTTATAAGAAATGATTTGTTCCCCTCTACAACCAATGTGGAATCGCATAATCCTCCTCCTTGGGGACCCAGCGTACTCGTTGGCACACAGCTCGATGACTGACAATGATACCATTTGTAACAAACCAAGCCCACCGCTAGAAGATATTGTCTTCTTTGGGCTTTTCCTTTTGAGTTTCACCTCAGGGTTTTAAAACGCGTATTCTAAGGAGAGATTTCCACATCCATATAAGGAATGCTTCGTTCCCCTCTTCAACCAATGTGGGATCTCACAATCCACTCCCTTGGGGACCTAGCGTCCTCACTGGCACACCGCCCGGTGACTGGCTCTAATACCATTTGTAACAGCCCAAGCCCACCACCAACAAATATTGTCTTCTTTGGGTTTTTCCCTTCTGGGCTTCCCCTCAAGGTTTTAAAACGCGTCTGCTAGGGAGACGTTTTCACACTTTTATAAGGAATGTTCCGTTCCCCTCTCTCCAACCGATGTGGATCTCACACTTTGTCACCCAAAGTTTAATCTACTATGAATTCAAACACGTACTCTTACATTTACTAATCACATGAACGAGCAAAAGATGTTCAAACACCAGAATAGAATAAACACGAAAGCCTAAAGAGAAACAGACAAGTATCAGAAAAATATGAATACCTCCATGAATATCCCATCTACTCCAACAGCAACTGCTGTCCTTGCAATGCACGGTATTAATTCACGTAGGCCACCACTAGCAACACCTCCATCACCCAACTTCAAAGAGACCAAACACTTAGATTTAACCTTTTAAATTCAAATATCCACTGAAGAATGTTATCAGGAGATATCGAGAAACAAAAAACGAGCTAACGAGGAAAATGATTGAGTATTGAATTATTAAGTCTCAGTTTGATAATGATTTCGTTTTTAGTTTTCTCCTTTTAAAATTTATGCTTGTTTTTTTCACTTTTTAATTATGGCTTCATCTTTATTACAAAATACTTGAATTCCTAGTTATATTCTACAAATTTACTAATAGCTTGGCTCGATTATCAAGACATTAGTAGAAAAGTGGCCAACATGGCTTAAGAGTCGAGCTTAAAAGCTGGATTCAAGCACATGGTTAGAGCTACGTGCTATCAAACAACATAGAAGACAAGTCGATGTGTTACACGTCTTGTCTTGTTCTATGCAACTGTCGAATACATAAAACATGAAAACAATATTAGACATACCTGTCTCCCAGCAGGTTGTTGCAATGAATGGGTAATGTCAGCAACCTGAAGTGAAAGCATTTAGCAGATTACTTTAGCCCCGACAAGACCGATGCACGTCCAAAATGGATTATATACGAACAAATCCCCTTCTCCCAGCACCCCAAATTTTATGTAAAATAAATTGAAATATGATCTTGAAGAACAAAGTTTTGAATATGTAAAGAGCTATTCTTTTCCTGAAGAGAAAAACTCGACATAGTGAAGCAAAAGTTGCAGGATCAAACAACTTACAACAGGGCAGCTTGCCTCTCTCATCCACTCCAGGTTCCGAGGATCAACGATTAAGTCATCTACAAACCAAATCATACTTATTATAAGATGAACTAAACGAGACGAGAAATAAGTAAATGTTGATTGGTTGATCGAAAAAAAAATCTTTTCTTCTTGTAACAGCCCAAGCCCACCCTAGTAGATATTGTCCGTTTTGGTCTGTTACATATCGCCGTCATCCTCACAGTTTTAAAACGTCTATTAGGGAGAGATTTCCACGCCCTTATAAGGAATGTTCGTTCCCCTCTCCAACTGATGTGGGATCTCACAATCCACCCCCCTTAGAGGCCCAGCGTCCTCGCTAGCACATTGTCCAGTGTCTGGCTCTGATACCATTTGTAATAGCTCAAACCCACCACTAGCAGATATTGTCCGCTTTGGCCCATTACGTATCACCGTCAACCTCATGGTTTGAAAATGCGTCTATTAGGGAGAGGTTTCCCCACCCTTATAAGGAATGCCCGTCCTCGCTAGCACACTGTCCAGTGTCTGGCTTTGATACCATTTGTAATAGCTCAAACCCACCACTAGCAGATATTGTCCGCTCTGGCCCATTACGTATTACCGTCAACCTCATGGTTTGAAAACGCGTCTATTAGGGAGAGGTTTCCCCACCCTTATAAGGAATGTCTGTTCCCCTCTCCAACCGATGTAGGATCTCACAATCCACCTCCCTTGAGGGCCCAACATCCTCACTAGCATACTATCCGGGATCTAGCTCTTGTTAGACGAACACGACTCCCCACAATGGTATGATATTGTCCACTTTGAGCATAAGCTCTCATGAATTTGTTTTGGGCTTCCCCAAAAGGCCTCATATCAATGGAGTTAGTATTCCTCACTTATAAACCCATGATCATTCCCTAAATTAGTCAAGGTGGAACTTTCATCATCCAACAGCTCTAATACCATTTGTAACACCCTAAACCCACCGCTAGCAGATATTGTCCACTTTGGCCCGTTACGTATCGCCGTCAATCTCACGGTTTTAAAACGCATCTACTATGGAGAGATTTCCACATGCATCTCACACTTTTACTAGAAAGCCGTGACCACATTTAAATACCAAAGATATTCTTTTAGCCCTTAAAAGTTTTAACCCATACGCTTCCAATTGAGTTAGGAGATGCGTGCATAAGCACTTGCTACACAAATTGATCCATCTAATGTTTGATAAAAATTAAGAAAATTTCAAGTATACAGACAATAATTTGAAGCAAATGCAAGCTTCTCTTCAACCAAACAAAAAAGAATGATAAAAAGTAACTTACTATATCCAAACATAGTTCCTCTCTCACAAACCATCACATTTGAATTCCCAGCCATTCTGATCTTTTCAGCAGAATTTTTCATTACCTGAAGAAATGGATATTCGGAAAATGAAAAAACGATACTACATCGTATCGAATGGCTCGAAAACATTTTTAAAAAATGAAAGAACTAAGAAAACATCTCATTTTTCAAGTTATCAGAATTCACTCACAGAAGGAGCACAAAACTGGCCTTTCTTAATATTTATAATTCTCCCAGTCTTGGCTGCTGCAACTAGAAGATCAGTCTGTTATGGTGAAAATGAGATGAGTAATTAAGACTCTAACTTCAAGTAAGCCAAACTCATCAACAAGTATTAAATTACCTGTCGACACAAAAACGCGGGAATCTGAATAATATCTGCAACTTTGCCAACGGCTTCGCACTGTAACAGATGATACGTTAAAGTTCCACATTCACGCACTAATTCTTAGTTCACACGCGTAACGGAAGTTCCATCAGTGACTTGAAGGAACATCGATCGGAAAATTACGAGTAAGAATTCAGATCTTAGAATGTTCCAAACATGGTTGGATCTAACAAGACATTGTTTAGACTTTTAAAAAATGACCATACAAACATAGTGTTTATGTGTCTGAAGTAAACGAAATAAAATACCTGTATGGTTTCATGCACATCAGTCACTATGGGTATATCATATGCTAATTTAACCTTTTCAAGTATCTGCAACGATGGAGAAAACAAAAGATTTTGTAAGCATGCAAAATTGCTTGATAAGTAGCACGGAATCAAAAGAAAAGGCAAAGCAATAAACTCAAGGAATAAACAAATGCCACATATAAACTCAAGGAATGCACAAAAGATATATGAGGATTCCACGAAACACTAACAAATAAATATATGAATTTGTGAGATCCCACATCAGTTAGGGAGGAGAACGAAACATTATTTATAAGGGTGTGGAAACCTCCCCTAGCAGACGTGTTTTAAAACCTTGAGGGGAAGCCCAAAAGGGAAAGCCCAAAGAGAACAATATCTACTAACGGTGGGCTTGAGGTGTTACAAATGGTATCAAAGTCAGACATCGAGCGATGTGCCTGTTAGACGAACACAATTCTCCACAATGGTATGATATTGTCCACTTTGAGCATAAGCTCTCATGGCTTTGCTTTGGGCTTCCCCAAAAGGCCTCATACCAATGGAGAGTGTATTCTTAGATTATAAACCCATGACCATTCCCTACTTCCCCAAAAGGCCTCATACCAATGGAGAGTGTATTCTTAGATTATAAACCCATGACCATTCCCTAAATCCCCAAAAGGCCTCATACCAATGGAGAGTGTATTCTTAGATTATAAACCCATGACCATTCCCTAAATTAACAAAAGGCCTCATACCAATGGAGAGTGTATTCTTAGATTATAAACCCATGACCATTCCCTAAATTAACCAATGTGGGACACTTTCATCCAACAGTATTCTTAGATTATAAACCCATGACCATTCCCTAAATTAACCAATGTGGGACACTTTCATCCAACAGTGTCAACGAGGAGACTGAGCTTCGAAGGGGGTGGACACAAGGTGGTGCGCCAACAAGGACGCTAGGCCCCGAAGGGGGATGGGTTGGGGGGTCTCACATTGATTGGAGAAGGGAACGAGTGCCAGTGAGGATGCTGGGCCCCAAAGGAGGGTGGATTGTGAGATCCCACATTAGTTGGGGAGGAGAACGGAACATTGTTTATGAGGGTGTGGAAACCTTCCTCTAGCAGACGCATTTTAAAACCTTGAGGGGAAGCCCGGAAGAGAAAGCTCAGAAAAGACAATATTTGCTAGCAGTGGGTTTGGGTTCATGAAAGGTGTAACTATGTCTATACATGGCCCTGCAATTCACAAATGGATATATGCATATGGAAGAACATGCACCACCATTATTCAAACATCAAACAAGTAAATCATTAGAAACCTTTGATTGGAGAAGGGAAATGGACATATGCATATGGAAGAACATGCACCACCATTATTCAAACATCAAACAAGTAAATCATTAGAAACCTTTGATTGGAGAAGGGAACGAGTGCCAGTGAGGATGCTAGGCCCCGAAGGGGATGGGTTGGGGGATCTCACATTGATTGGAGAAGGGAACGAGTGCCAGTGAGGATGCTGGGCCCCAAACGAGGGTGGATTGTGAGATCCCACATCGGTTGGGGAGGAGAATGGAACATTGTTTATAAGGGTGTGGAAACCTTCCCCTAGCAGATGCATTTTAAAACTTTGAGGGGAAGCCCGGAAGGGAAAGCCCAAAAAAGACAATATCTGCTAGCAGTGAGTTTAGGTTGATGAAAGGTGTAACTATGTCTATACATGGCCCTGCAATTCACAAATGGACATATGCATATGAAAGAACATGCACCACCATTATTCAAACATCAAACAAGTAAATCATTAGAAACCTTTAGGCCTTCAACCATGCCTGGACCACGAAAGGATTTGGCAGATGTACGGTTAGCTTTATCAAAGCTCGACTTGAAAACCAGTGGCAAACCAAACCTGCCAGATAACATATAAAAAAGAGTGCAATGTGAATCCTTGATCACCCACAAATCAAGGATGCCATGAAATTATTGGCTCCATAAACTTACCTTCTGTATCAAACTAGGAGATATCTAATATTTTCTTTCATCATTTAATGTTATATGATGGAATAAGTACAATTTTATTCAGCAATTTAGAATAAAGAACCTAAGACTCGAAGAATCTCGATACATACTTCGACGATATATTCTTGATGTGCTTAGCCATCCTAAATATATGCTCCTCCGATTCAATCACATTTGGACCAGCCAATAGGAAAAAGGGTTCAGCAGCCTGCCAAATTAATACAATCATCATGTAAAACGCATACAGAAATTAATGGCTGATCTATAAAACAAATTGTCACGAAAACGAAATGGTTCAAACCTGGAGCTGGTTGAAAAGCAGCGAAGATTCCATGGCGTTTACTTCGGTGCAATTCAAGACTTACAGACAATTAATTCAGGATGTCTTGAGCTGTAACAAATGACCATCCGGTTAACTTTGGACATTGCAAAAGTTAAGTTAAATGAACATAGAATGCCATAATGAGAGAAATCTTAAACACACACACACACACACACACACAAATCCTTGCTAATCCAATAGATCTTAATTTTTTCAATTTCCTACAACAAAAATCAGATGGCAACCATAATCTGCAGGAACAAGGACAGTGCTTCGATTTTCGCTTGAAATGTTATTGAATTCTTGTTTGTTTCTAGGGAAAATGCTTTCCAAATTCATGTTTTCAAGATAAAGATCTAAAAACATGTTCATTTCAAGAAATTGTTGGCGTTCTGAACCCCCCAATAAAAACCCACTAACCATTTTAGCTAAAAAGAAGAACCCAGATGAAATTTTAGTGAAAATAAGAACATAAGCGAATGAACTGAACAAACCAAACCCGATTTCTAAAAGATAAAACACATAATCCATAAGAGAAGAACTGCATTACATAGGCTTCTCTAAGATTTGGATCAGGATCAAAAGCTGGAAAAGTAAGAACATTAATTTTACCTTCTCACATGGGATCAAGTGAATGATTTGTATGAGAGATTTAGAATGCGAAAATGAGCAAAAAGCAAAAAGAAAAAATGTAAAGTTCCGGGCCGGTAGACAAGAAAGAGATGAAGAATTCATAAGGTAAATGAGAGGGCAATGGATATGGGAAGTCAAGGAAAATGAAGAATTGGTTAATTACCTATGAAGATGGTGTAATGGCGATCAGGCACTGGAGGAGGGAACGACGATGGAGTGTAGGAGAGCTGGGAGAGGCGGTAGAGAGAGAGGGGCATAAAAATAAAACTAAATTAACAAAAATACCCCAAAATTTTTTATATTCACTTAAAATATTCTTATATCTTTTTTAAATTTTCAAAATTTTCAATAATAACTTTAAACTCTCCGAAAAAAATAATAATTTGGAAGGAAAATTGTTTAGTTTTTTTGGTTTCAAAAATACCATTTCAATTTTTTTTTTTACCGTTAGTATTAGATAAAAAAATACTGTCTATAAAATAAAGTTAAAACTTTTTAACATTTAAATTTTTTAATATTACTTCTATTTAAACATCGTACTAATGATAAAAATATGTTCTTCTCAACTGATGTGGATCTTACAATTCACCCCTTCTTTGGGGCCAGCGTGTCTACCCCCTTTGAGGCTCATCCTCATCGTTAGTACATCGCTCGGTATCTAACTCTGATACTATTTGTAATGACTCAAGCTAAATATTGTCCTATTTGGGCTTTCCCTTTCGGGTTTTTCCTCAAGGTTTTTAAAATCGGTCTATTAGGGAGAGGTTTCCACGTCCTTGTAAAAAATGTTTCGTTCTCCTCCTCAACGGACGTGATATCTCACATTACCTATTGTCATTCCTCACGTAGATATATGTTGATTGCATTTTGGGAGACTACAACTACTCATTTGGATTTATTTTTGCTCATATTTTGTTAAGCATCCAATTGTAAATAGGTATGTAATATGATGATGATATTTGATAATAGAAAAGCAGTTGAGGAATACAGTTTTTTATCTTTTGAACACACACACAGATGGACAGCCAAAACGCCTGCTTTGGTCATGATTCCCCTCTGGATTTGGCACCGATGGCCTTTTATAACCTCTCTTCTCTGCTGCCTGCTTTCAGTCATCACATAAATCAAACACTTTCATGTATGAATTCTATGCATGTTATTAAAGGCACATTATCGTTTAGAGCTAATGATGAAATCTCACGTCGGTTGAAAAGGAGAACGAAACATTTTTTTATAAGGGTTTGGAAATCTCTCCTTAGTGGACGCGTATTAAAATCGTGAAACTGATGGCGATACTTAACGGGTCAAAGCGGATAATATATGTTTGTAGTAAGTTTGAGCTCTTACAAATGGTATCAGACCTAGACACGGGGCGATGTGCTCGTGAGAAGACTAAGCCCTGAAGGGGTGTGGACACAAGGCACTGTGCCAGCAAGGATGCTAGGCTTCGAAAGGGGTAGATTGTGAGATCTCACATTAGTTAGGAAAGAGAACGAAAAATTCTTTATAAGGGTGTGGAAACCTCTTCCTAATAGACTCGTTTTAAAAATCTCAAGAGAAAGAAAACTTAAAGAAGACAATGAACTTGAGCAATTATAAATGGTATCAGAGCCAGACACCGAGCGATATACCAGTGAGGAGATTGAGTCTCAAAGGGGGTGGACACAAAGTGGAGTGCCAGCAAGAACATTGGGCCTCAAAAGGGGTGGATTGGGGGTCTCACATCGATTGGAGAAAGGAAAGAGTGTCAGCAAGGACACTGGACCCTGAAAGGGGTGGATTGTGAGATCCCACGTCAGTTGGGAAGGAGAACGAAATATTCTTTATAAGCACGTAGAAATCTCTCCGTAGCAAACATGTTTTAAAAACCTTGAGGAGAAACTCGAAAGAATAGTTCAACCGTGGTGGAGTTGGGCTTTCGCTGATACAATTTAGAGACAATCCAATGCCACCATCATGATGATGATTGCATTTGATTTTCTTTTTTAATAATTTCTTCATGTGGGAAGTCTACCAATTTTGAAAATATGTTTTCACGACCCCGACGTGCATTTAGAAGTGAAAGTGATTTTCTTATACAATCATTTAATGTTTGGGTTTACAGCACCTTTAAACTCGATCTTCATGCTATCAAAATCGGAGGATTAAAGAGATGATTTTTGGAATGTGGTTTTGATCCTTTCAAAATTACTCTTAAACCTGCTCTAAGAGCCGGTGGTAAAGTTTGATAATTGATCCTGGTTTAGTCGAGAGTGAGTGATATTTCGTCAAGGGTTGGAGAGTTCGATCATAGTCCAAAGTTGATGACTCGATTTGTTCTAGCTAGTAGTTTTTGTTAAATTTAGGAAAGTAGAAAGAGAGAGATAATACAAAAAAAACTGCTAGGGATTCCTCGAATACAAGTGCTTATGAAATATAATAGCTCAAGGTCACCACTAGCGGATAAATATTGTCTGCTTTGGTACATTATGTATCGTCGTCAGCCTCACGGAATACAAAAAACGTCTAAGAAATGTTTCGTTTTACTGTAAAGATCTCTAAAAAATGATTTCATAATATATTTGAGAATTATTTACCTAAATAAAAATATATGTTTATTATAATGTTTTGGAAGATGAAATTATTTTTTTCAAATTCACCTCAAGATAAACATCAATAGAAGAAAGATAACAAAATATTTCTTATAAGAGTGTGGAAACCACTTCTTAATAGATGTGACAACGATACATAGCATAGCAAAGTGGACAATATCGACGAACCGACTTGGACTATTATAATAAAACACAACCATAAACAAGTTTAACAAATGCGTGTAATCATTTGATTAACCTTCGTATGGAATTTAGGACATCCTAAGTATCATGTAGTGCCTTGATCTATCTTTCTTTAGTTTGGAGCTACTACCCCATGTACATTTATTGTTGTGTTCTTTGCAGCAGTAAGGTTGCATTTCGAGACCATTTATTCTCTGAATATTGCATTAGCTAAGTTGTTTGAAGATGTGCTCGGGTTTGATAATAGGGCATAGAGCTTGAATAAATTGTCATTATAGTGCAAGTGGTCGTCTATGATAAAAGACTAGAAGAGTAACCTAGTTACATATCATTTTGGGAAAGCATAACTTTCGTATCCATGGTGCTAATTTGAGCCTCCGAGGTGATTTGTCAAGTTGTATGATCTAATATTTTTATTTGTTATTCTCAATGGTTGGAGACTTCCAACTAATAGTAAAAGTATTTTAAAATATTAGATAAATTAAGATGTTTACAAATATTTGTATTAATTTAATTTTAAATTTTTTTTCCTTTTGTTTCTCGAACCTTCTAATATTGGTTTTTTTTTTATTGGAAAAAAAAATGGCGGTAAGGGTGGCAATAAAATAAAAATAAAAAGACGGTCAAGGCGGGCAGTTTAGTGATTAGTGGAAGGGGGTGGCGTCCAACTCAGCGTAAATGAGCGCCGATGTCTGTGCTCATCGGCAGTTGCATCGGATTCTCTGTTCGTTTAGGTTCTCAAAATGATTTTCCCTCCATTGTCCTCATTTGTTGCCAACACAATTTTATATTCTTTTTATTTATTAAAATATTTAATTCATTAAGTTTTGATAAGCCTATCCAATTTTTTTAACTTTTAATTTCATGTCCGTTAAAATAAGTTGCACGTGAACTTTAGTAACATTTTTTTAAAGAAATTAGGGAGGTTCAAATAACTAGAAAATTCAACTAATATAAACTATCCAACCTGTTAGACGAACACGACTTGACCCCATACCAATGGAGAGTGTATTCTTAGATTATAAACTCATGATCATTCCCTAAATTAGGTGTGGACTTACTTTTCATCATCCAACACCTCCTCCTCGACTCCTCACGACTTTTCACAATGGTATGATATTGTCCACTTAGAGCTTCCCTCCTCACGACTTTTCACAATGGTATGATATTGTCCACTTAGAGCTTCCCTCCTCACGACTTTTCACAATGGTATGATATTGTCCACTTAGAGCTTCCCTCCTCACGACTTTTCACAATGGTATGATATTGTCCACTTAGAGCTTCCCTCCTCACGACTTTTCACAATGGTATGATATTGTCCACTTAGAGCTTGGCTTATTGGCCCTTGATCTCACATTAATTAATTTCAATGAATTAATTATTGATGTTTTGATGATAACAAACCTACTTTTAATTATTAACTATTTTCAGTTTTTTGAACTGTCCACAGTATAAGGTCGGGAATAACGATTACAACAACTTTTCAATTACTCAAATCAGAGCTAAAACGAAGAAATTAGAGTCGAGACAACATACCCGACGTGATGATGTGGCAACAAAATCAAAATGATGGACAAATCAAAATATATCAAAGTATGACATTTATAATATTGGAAGAGTAACACATGGTGGAGTTTTTCTTATTATTACATTTCTAAATAAAATTATTTTTACAAATATAAATTTGAATATAACCGTTACTCACATCGAAGTTTATTATTACTATATTATATTATTATATTATTATATTTTAAAATTTTGGTAGTTACTCACATCATTTTTATTATTATTATATTATTATATTTATAATAAATTTTGAATTACACTTTACCGTTACTCACATAACTTTTTATTATTATTATATTATATTACTATTATATTAAAATTTTGAAATAAATGAATTTAGAAAATTTTCTTACTTAATTACTTTTAATCTCCACCTTCCATTATTCCTAACACAATCCAATGGTCAATATTCAATCCTACATTTTGCCACTTTTCTCCTCTATATAAACTCATCTTCCCCACATTTTTAACATATACAACTTACATACATTCTTCAATCCTCATTTGTTCAAAGTCTCCATTGTTTATTGCTCTCTCCAAGCTTACAAGTTTATTTCTTTTCATCTTATTCTTGAGAGGGATTATTATTATATTGTGAGGAAATAGTTGTCAGTATCCCAAATTGTAAATCTACTCTTTGAGAGAGTTGTGGTGTGTTATTATCAAACTCAAATACTTGTATCGGTTTGATCCTGCGTCGTTGAAAGGATTGAGTTTGCTCTTGAACTCGTAAAA